CTTCAAGAATGCTTTGCAACCTCATCAGTGAATGCCATGTGCAGAGAATAGAGCTTCAAGTCAGATCTTATACAGTGTAATCAGCTTTGTATTTTCAGAGCTCTTATATAATATTATTGAGATTGATATAAGATTAAACAGCTCTGTGACTGCAATAACTGCCTCATCTCACATCTTTTTCAGAGCTGAAGAGTCTATTAATAGTGATCAGAACTTCTCAATGATCAAACTAATCAATTGTTTAAATACTTCATCTTACTGTGAAGTATAAGAGAGAGTTGACTCTCATTTTATATCTTCACTGAGTATATATGCTGTAGCTGTATTTGAATTCAATTCTTTATAATCTGAGTGAATGATTGCAATGCTACATCTCAGCAGATTCTTGATGAATTGATTGAAGATCTGTAGATATCTCAACATCTCATTCTTGTGTTTCAATAGAAATATTTATCTTATATAGATAGTATCATCTGTTATCATCATTGCAAGCTTCTTATCAGTGTAAGATAATATATCATTCTCAGTTTCAAGAGTCTCATCATCACTGAAGATATTCACTCAAATCTTCAAGGCCTTGTGAGTAGCATGATGTGGTGTGAAATTCTTGTAGAAAGTGTGTTTCTGTTTAGACTTAATACATGTGATATAGAATGATAAGTTCTTCAGACTGATAATAACAATATCAAATTATGAGTCTCTGATCATTTTTAATATACTATTTTCACTGATATAATCAAGTTGATGATATCACTCATCTATCAGAAGCTGTTTTGAAAGAACTGCAGATAATCAAGATAAAGATGAGATAACAAAGAAATCAGTATCTGAATTCTTAGAGTTGATTAACTGTTCAATCTTCTCACAGCTGAAAGATCTCAAAGACTCTGCATTTGAATTATAATCTATTGAGATTGTCTTTGATTTCAGAATGATCACATATGTCACTACTTTATACATTGAGTCATTCATTATTTCATGAAATGTCGGTAAGCTGTCAGATAGAATGTAAATATTATTGTGAGATAGATTGATATAGAAGATATCACTGTTGATAGATGATAGAAACTCAAAGTAGTTCTCAGCATTAACTTGTATATTACAGTGAATATAGCTCTGACATTTCATAAGCTCAGTGAAGATCAGATTTGTGAATAGTTCTGATATGTAGTATACATGATTGAATTCTATCAATCTTTCACTCACTGAGATAAATACAGTGCTGACACTCTGAACCTTTATAATAATCTTATTGATCACTTAAACTGTTGAATCATTAATTACTATAAGTTCTGAAAATCATGATCTATCACTCACTATGTGGCATCCGGCGCTACTATCCTATATAGTGAGAGGATTCTTGTGAGGTTTCATGAAACAGGCTGACATATTGATAACCTCTGCAAGGTTTGTCATCTGATAGGTCTCTGATTCATCTGTAATGAATAGTTGAGTTCTATTCTCACTATTATTCTTTTTCTTCTTTTTTTTGAATTTCTTTATTCTTGTAGTATTGTTTATTCTTCAATTATTCAGAGTACTGTCTGAATTAATCAATCAACAGATGTCAAAGTGAGATCTCTCACATTCAGAACATGTAGATGAATTTTTCAATCTCTGATGATTTCAGAAGCCTTCTTATGTACTGTTACAATTACATTCAGTACAGCCTTCATGGGCCGGATTTGATGTATTATTGCTGATAGTCAGTGTGGCTGTTATAGCTGTTGTAGCTGTTATAGCTATTGTAGCTGAGTTGGCTGCAGAATCTATATTCTGCAGGTTCTTTTTATCTTTTGAAGAATCAAGTCATGAACAGATTTCCTTCATGAGAAGATCAACATTTAATACCACAGCTGTGGATTTGAAATCCTGTATCTTCTCTATCTTCTTCTGAATGTAATTCCTTCAATTGTTGAGTAGAACTGAGTAGAAGATATCAAATATTTACACATCTAAGAAGAAAGTATTCAACATCTTCAATTTCATGATGACAGACTGAAACTTATTGAAGAATGTGTGTAGATTGATGACCTGTGTGTCACTAAGAGACATGAATTTCAGAACTGTCTCACAGCATAACTGTGTTTTAAGAACAGAGTATTTCTGTTCAATCACATTTCATAGAGTATAAGCAATCTGATTTTCATCATACTTGGAGAAATGTGATCTGACACCTACATTCAAGAAGTTTGAGATGAATGTATAGAGTCATCGGTTTCTGATGTCTCAGAATAATGCCTATTCATCATCTCTTTGTAGAGGGTTCTGAGTCTGTTGTTTCTCTATCATATATTAACACTGTGTATTAACCAGTTTCAATTTCATGAAGATGCTTCATGTGATGTAATTGAATGTGTCAGTTAGACTGTTTAGTCTCACAGTATTCTTGACATCTTTCTTGAATTGAGAGATTGTCTTGTCAACATGACTATTCAGTTTATAAAGATTGAATTCTAATCTTTCATCAAGATTAGAATTTCATGTGACTGTACAGACTGTGAATGTGATGACAGAATGATTGTTGACATTCTGTGATTAATCTGTAGAGAATCTCTATTAATGAAGTTTTTTCAGTTGTAGTTCAAGTTCTAGAACTCTTTGCTTCCTCTTGTTCATCTCAAGTATTATCTTGAGATGCTTCATCTGTTGATCTGATATTGTCTCATCTGAATAATAGACTTCATGAGAATCAGTATCAAGCTGTTGAGTAGATCAGAGAGCCGGCCTGACCATGTCAGAAGCTGTATTCAAACCAGCTTTGAATCAAGAGAGTGTTTCAGAGCATTTATCAATGAAGCTTTCAAAGGCTTCAGGAGAATGTTCACTGGCAGAGTGTGAGTGTGAAGAATCATCATCATCAACTGCAACTGATTCAGTGAAAAGAACATGAGATTGTAAACATGTATGTGAGCGGGATCATGTTGAATCTGTCATCTTAATGTTCATTTATTGAATCCTTGTCAATATTGTTCTCTTTTCTTGCTTTTTTGCAAATGTGATGCATTTTCTGCAAGCCTCTTTTTTTTTTTTTTTTTTTTAAGTGAGTAGTAGTATTATTGATCATCAAGATCTCAAATGCATTAATACTGATAGAATAAGATGATTTTAACTTCTGATGAGTGTATCAAATGAAGCAGTAGTTCAAATAATAAGTATATTAACAAGAAATCCCGAATTAGCAGCAATTTTATACAAAACAGGTCTCATAACCTGTGAAAGATGTAAAGCTTGTGTAATTGAAAGGTTGCTAGCTTGTGGAAAGTTATATGGTGGAAGGATTAGTAAGCCAGATCACGTGACCTGATATATTTTTATAGAAGAAAAATAAATCACTGATTTCTTTAATAAGAAGTCAGTATTTAGTTATTCTATATAGATAATGAATGAATATTTCTCTTCTATTCTATAAGTAAGAATAGCTGAAGTGATATCTCAGCAGTATCTCACTGTTATAGAAGAGTAATCTGCTGATCTTATATAGAAGTAAGGTTCTCATATTCATCAATCAGATCTGGCCCGGTAGTATAGTAATTAACTACACTATTATGAAGCCTTAATTAACAGTCTTTCTCTCAGGAAATAAATATTAAGAGAGAGCAGATTCAAACTCTGTAAAAGTCATCTTAATTACAGCTTTCACTGTTAAGTTATAAAACAGTATCAGAGATCTTCAGATACACTATAATAAATTATTATCAAGTTTAAAATATTCACTCTGAAAGTTCTTAAATACTAATTCTCACTAATCTTAGAATTAATAGCTCTTTAAATACTTTAAATTAGATTAGTACTAGAGTAATTGAGATTTAAAGTATTTATAAAACAGTAAATTATTATTAAGCTTAACTAATCAGATCTTATCTCTCTTACTCTAGATACTTACTTTCAGAGAATTAATATTTAAAAATTATTTTATTAGAATATCTTAGATCTAGTAAGAATCTAAATAAAATAAAATCTAGATATTCTTAATAAATAATTACTATAAATAAGACTGTGATAGTTAATTAATAGATTAAAATACTGAGATTAACAGCTGAAAGATTAAAGACTTAACTAGAATTAAGTAGCTCTGATATTATTCTTAATGAGAATCTTATTTATAAGTAAGCTAGTTATAGAAGCTAGTTAAGTAATAACTCTTTAAAGAAAATAATAATCTCTGAAGTGAGTCTGAGAGAACAGAGACAGTGATCAGTTATATAAAGTGTTAAAATATATATATAACTTAAGATATAAACTATAGAAATCTTATTCTATAAATCTCTTTTTACTGTATCTATTTCTTTCTATTCTTTTCTATCTATCTATTTAATATATCTATCTTTAAGACTATATTCTCTTTTTCTTTGTCATGATATTTTCAAATAATTTCAAAGTATTAGAAGATGTTAAAATACTATAATTTATAAACAGTTTTTATATTCTGAGCTGGAATTTTCTGATTTTATATATCTGAAATTGATAAATGTATAATAGTTAACTCTATAGATATAGAAAAAACCCTGAGAACTAAAGGTTCTCAGGTAGATGTCATAGTCTCTGACTGCATACATCTATAATTGAAGAATAATAATAATAATAATCAATCAGATCTTCCTATATTATATCTGAATGATGTCATAGGGTGGTTGGAAACCGGTTCGAACAGCCTGCGGGATGAATGGAATCATCCGCATGGAAGCGATGGGCCGTGTGGAACCGCAACGGGGCCTTGGCCGGCCGGGGGCGTGACAGTCCCCGACCTCCACAAGTTGAAAGGGAAGCAACCCCCCCCATTTTCATGAATCATAAGAGAGCAGGAAAAAGAAAGGGATTCTATGACCCCCCCCTTGTGAGGTTCTTGTGTGTTCTTGAGAAGTAGCAGATTCGTGACCGATTCATTCATCTCAACCCAGGAGGAGAATCGTGGGTTGTCAGTACTAACCCCTGTTCCTGTCACTACGGACAAGGAGAGCCCTGCTCAGTTGACAGAGTGCCGGAAACCTCAGGCACCCATGAATCATGATGATGGCAATATCAGGTTGTAGGCTATAAATATACCGTATAATCTCTAGTTAACATGCCTCTCCGTCGCAAGACTGTATATTGCGTAGCAGAGGGAAGCTCAAAGATCACAGACTCTCTTGTTAATTGTACAAAAACAATACAACTACCCATATGAACCTGGTTTCAATCCGACATGGAAGATAACTACTCAACCATGAACATGGATTCTCCATCCTCGCGTCAAATTCCAAGATGAGGGCAACGCGTGTCGCAGGTCTCCTCCCGGCCTACCCCGGTCGTGCTCTCCCTCCTCCTCGTCTCCCTCAATATCCCAACAAACTTCAACAATCTACCACATTTACTTCAATTCCATCTCCGATGTTAACTTCACCATCACAAAGTCGCCTGAAAAACGCCGCCCCGTTTACCATGTGCAAAACTCCTACTTCACCCCAGGGACACCAGACATGACTCTGCATGCTGGCCCCGACCAGTCAGGACCCATTCTGGGCTGCTGTAAATTTGTCCTTTTTTCGACATGCACGAAAATTGGCCTGGGTATCAGTGAGGAGGATACGATTTGGGAGGATCTGGCGTGGGTGAGCAAGGATCATTCACGGTACAGATACGAAATTGATTTGGATATGAACATTGGCGACGGGGATATAGCCGGTCCCACATCCTTATCAGCGGCAAGGTCCGGTGCCCACCGCCGTGCGTTCCTCTGGAAGCCAACACACAGCGTTGGCGTTGAGGAGTCTATGCCCTCGAAATTCAGTCCTAGCAATTATAAGCTAGTCGACGAAGAGACGGGGGAAGTGGTTGCGGCGTTTGCGAATAATAGATTTAAGAGTTTGGATGAATAAGGGAAAAATATAATTTATTTGAAGAAGGTTCGAGATGCGGAAAGGGTTGAGTTGATGTGCTCATGGGTGCTCTGCAGTGATGGAACGGAACGGAGGAAGAGGTATGCAGTGGAGGTATGATCAGTTATGATCTTTCTTAGAGTATTTCTTGAGCAGTGTTTATCCGGGATGCGGGAGTTTTTGTTAAATATGACAACTTTGCAGGTATAAGACAAATCTTTTATTCGTCCAACATCATATTAGCATGCACTCCGTAACATTCAGCTAATCATAATTTTGATGATTTCCGTTTATAGTCTGGCTTTGGTTCATTGTGGAGAAGGGATAGATAGCTACACTAAGCTACCATAGTTATTTTTACTGTTACTATGTGTACAGATGGGCACGCTGGGTATATAATAAGTATACATCTGAAGGTACCGGAGAGTAGTGGAGATTGCCGGGGCTTCGCTCGCTAGGGCGGGTTCTGCAAAACAAAAGGTACCATACTGAAAAGGGAGAGAGATATTGGGAATGGAATATAAGAAAACAGCCTTGATATATACCGAAAATTGTTGACAGGAGGAATTGGCCAAGGAATAAAATGACAACCACTAGTTAACAGAAAAAAGTAAAAGGTAAACCCCGCCACCCACCATTCCCCCCGGGCTCTCCAAAAGAAGGAAAAAATAGAAGGAAAGAAAGAGAGTCCATCTCCAGGATACAAAGTTGGAGCGCGAGGAAGCAGGATGAAAGCACGATCCAATCTCAGTACTCTTACGTTGAAGATAGAGGGCATCTGTAAACTTTATGTTCCCCACATATCCTCATCGCTCATGACTAGATCCTCCTCCTGTTGCACTCGCAGCCCATTCTCCTTCCTTTTCTGTTTCCGTTCCCGTCTCGTGACAATATGACTAGGGGTAATGGGTGTGATCGGCGTGAAGGGCATATAAGGGGAATATGGAGTCTGCGGGACCCCGGTTCGAGGGCCGCCTGCCCTCAACATACTCTCGCGACGCTCAACAACTGTGGTTTTAGTTGGTGTAGCACTTGTAGGTGAAGCGAATGCGCGAAATGGTAGGGTCGAGTTACTACTGCCGGTTCGAATATTGAGAGGTGTGGGAGTTTTTCGGCTTGGGGGATCAAGCGATTTTTGGCTTGGATTAGGTGGGGGAGGTCCTGGGCTGTATATCCGTGGCGATAACGGTTGGGTTTCGGAATAGTTACTCGAGGTAAGTGCCGGAGATCCCATGGGCGGTGAGATTGGAAGATTTCGCACCGACTTCCTGCGAGCTTTGCCACCCGCCGTAGTGTCACGAGAACGAGAGCCGAGGAATGACAAGTTGGAAAGCCTTGATAATCGATGAGCTATAGGAGATAGAGGGGAGGTAGGTAGTTGTTGATGTTGATGTTGCTGCTGCTGTAGTACTGAAGGATCTTTCGGGGGTGGGAATGCGGGCTGATTCTTCAATCGGGCCTGTTGTGGATGGGCAGGTAGTGCGGTATGTCTGAGATGTCGGAATTCTGGAGGACCTTGGATGGATTCAGGGGAGGACGACACTTGTTGTTGAGCCGGGGACAAGTTTTCGTCTTCGTTCGTCTCGTATACAGCACGAGATTGCTTTGCGTCATGTTCCATAACCGCGGCGTAGAGCCGTTCCATCTCATCTTGGGCTCTCATTCGGTCTGCTTGTACTATGGTCTCATCAAATGTGGCCATGCTTCCGGTTTGGGAGGCAGGAGAAGTAGGACTTCTAGAAGTGTTAGACCAAGGCATGCTAAAGCTGGATTTCCCTTTCTTTGGGCTCGGCCACATTTGAGAATCTATTCCGCTTTCTGGAGTTAACCAAAGTCTGCTAGGTGTTGCTGGGTTTATTGTGGTGTTAAGTGTTGGTTTTTGCGGTTTGATCATTTCCATGTCCAGTGTTCGGTTCGATTGTTGTGCGCTGCGACGCAGCCGTCTCCCTGTCGTGAGAAGGCAACCCAGGAATATAACTACTGTGCCAACGTATGCGCCTACTATGGCGACAATTTCTCGCCAGAGGAGACTGAGATCGCGAGTTGCGGAAGCTGAGAGAGGAGGACCGTCTTCGGGGGCTGGGGCCGGGCCTTTGAAAATGTTGATCGACCGAATTGATGCTGTATGGACGATAGCGGCCTGGATCAAAAGCAGCAGAAAACAAGTAGAAAATGACAACCGTGGAGCGGACATGTCGTGATCCTCGGGTTGTTATACCGCATCCGACATGCCAGGAATAAAGTCTCCCAAACAATCCAGGCCACCCCTTTCACCTCTGTAACAACAGGAGCAGCGTTTACCACTCTGCGGGGCTTTGGTAGATATAAGATCCATGCGAGGAAGGGAGATCCAAACACTGCGTCTTTGATTTTGGATCGGCATCAGGAATCGAACACTGCTTGAGTGATTGGTTCGAAGGGAGAGTTCCTCAAGAGGCATTCCGGTAAAACTCCTGTGAGGTAAAGGTCTGGTCTACAAATGAGAGAGGGGAGTAGCATGAGGAGGCTGTGAGAGGATGTGGGCCGCATGGTCGCACATTGTCATCACTGACCCATTGAGATAATCGCAAGCTATTTTGGCTGCTGGGATTCCCAAGCTAGCATGGTGGCCAGCACGCACTAAAACTGGCTGCTCCTTGGAAACGGCATCGATGATTGTGGTTGGGTATTTGCTGGAACCTTGCAGAGGGATTTTCTGTCAAGACAAAGAATGATTTGCTGCAAATTAAGCGCCGAGATAGAAGTCGGCGTTTTCCCCATGTTGCGTGTAGCCAGTCAACGCAAGTCGCCAGCACGAAAGGCTGCCGGTATGGTATCTTAGTTCATGATCTTGCTGCACGACAGGCATGATCCGTCACACTAGTCCCTTTTGCACTCACACGGTCACACCTCACATTGTTTTCACTGCGGGCCGATGATGGGCCGTGGGCATTGGAGGAAGAAATGTACGCACCCGCCTGCAAAATGCCATCTCCTCTGGGGCATGGAGAGGCGATCGGGGTTGGCCTGATTTAGGCTGAGGTGTGGAATGTTTGTGATAGACCAACTAAATACATCTTTTTGGCTGCTAGCATCTTGTTGAATTCCACATAGCCCTCTTCCGGCGCGCGAGACGTCTTGTAAAACAAATGAACAGGGAGGTTCAGTATCCAAGACGATGAAATACCGCGCGGCAAAAACCCTATCATCTCACCAGGCCCAACTAATGCAGAGTTGTTGCTCTTGGACTAATTTGCCTTGCTACTTGATTTTCATGAAGAGATGAGGAGATACCCCAGCTGCAGCCTCGCCTGAGGGTGTGCGAGTCTTCCACAGCTGATTTACTGTATTGCCAGTTGTAGAACAAGGCGGCGGATCTGGTGATGCGTGTGTTCCCTCGACTCCTAGTCCACTACTACCATTTCTTCTACCTATGCAACATCAAGCGACGGAGGTATAGCGTATGTGTTTGGATCTCTGCTGCCAGGATGTGAGTGGATCCAAACAATGAACTCTCGATCCAAATTGCTCTGTTGGGTCGAGGGCAGGGGCTATATATGGATAGATTGAGAGTTAACTACAGCTTCAGCGCAGCCTGAGCCGGTTGGGACTGCGGAGCCGCATGGCATGGCAAGACATGATTTTTACAGTGTAACTTTTTATATATTTCTACGCAGGTACAGGTACAGACTGTACATGTACATGTACAGTACATACATTCTCTGAGGGAATGTCTAAACTACCTAGGTACTGTACATTACATACATACATGGCCGTGCTTGCCTGGCGCTGTTGCGTGGACAAGAAACATGGATGATGCCTGCCGCAAGAGTTTTCGAGATGTATTGAACAGCAGAAAAACTTCTGCTTGTTGATTTCTTTGCCCACGCCCGATCCATCCATGGATGCTGCATCCCAAGTGTGATGAAGCAATTCCCCCTAGTCTGCTACCCAAGCAGAGGAGGAGAGCAAGATACGTTCGCTATTTGATAATCCGTATACTCCTTATTTACCCATCAACACTCTTTTGATTGATATATTTTTTCTTTTGCAAGTGCCCCATTGACCTCCTTCGCATCATGGGGAATAAAGTCTCAGCAGTCACTGGTGTCCGCTCCCCCAATTTCTTCGAACCAGGGAACGCGGTAAACGAGGTCTGGGTTGGGGATTTGGAGGTGGTATCGCGGCTCCCTTTTGGCGATTCAGATATGGCACAAGCTGGTTGGCCCAAAAACGACTACCCAAAAATTCCATGGCGTCCTTTTATTATCCCCCTCCGTGCTACAGTCTCTGCCGCGGTGAAATCGAGATCGTTATTCTCGATTGCCGATCCCGCCTCGGACTGGAGTGCGTCCTTGCGCGACTCTGCGGCCACCAAACTGGTCCTGATATGTTGGGTTACGATGCAAATTCTTGCCATTCCTGTCCTTATGGTACCGATTGCTCTCCATCTTGTGCCGCGGAATCACTTCACAGCCTATGGTGACGATGAAAATGAAGTGCAAGATCCGTCTATTCCGTCCAATGATGACGCCGGATCGCCAGACAACTCTCCACGAAGAAAGCAAGATGCAGCATTTGCCCGTGCTTTATTGGGTTCTGTATTCCATGTAACAGGCGTACTTCTGGTTTACGGAGTTCACGATGGCCCTGTTTTGAGTTCTATATTGCCCCCGAAACCCTCGCTTGAAAGCACGGATTCTGGTATTTCTAGTCCCCAAGATTTTGCCAGACTAGACGCGGCCACCGTATATGCAGCAATGTCAATGGCTTTGTGTTTAAATTCCGCTTACTCTGTCATACGCCTATGGTGGGGTTGTTATAAGTTCCGACGGGATCATGAGAACGAAGTGAGAGAGCATAATGAGAAGGACGCTGCAATGATTTCCGCACCGCCGCCATATGCTGATGGGGATGACGATGATGAGGATGTGGTAATCGTGCTCGTGTAAAGCATGTTCAAGATATCAATTATCAATTATCCCCCACCCTAAGTCCACTCGCTCGGCTCTGTCGTTTCTTACGTGCTTGACATCTGTTTCTCCTTTTCGTACGTTTGGCGTGTGCCTAGCAGAGCATAAGGCTATGATTTTGACGCCTGCTTATTCCTTAGGCTTGACACCCATTGGCAGTTCGGAGCAGCAGACTAGATCCCATATTCTCTCACCTACGCGCTAGGGTATCCCAACCTGCGGTTTTTTGGGACCGATAAATATCGCGGAATTTGCGTTGCCTTTGCAATACTCTGTCTTGAAAGGAGTGCCGGGCACAACAGAAATGATCATTATGACTTTTGCCGCCTTTCCCTGCCTTCTTCGATCAAAGCACACAGTTCCTTTACCCTTAACCTCCCAACACACCTTTTGCCAACATCAAATGGTCATCGAATGGTCAAATTCATACAAACACGACCATCGCTCATGAGATTCATTTCAAAGACACCCTGGAACGCACATACCACCCCCTGTAAGGCACAGTGTCCTAAATCAAATGTACAATGACCTAAGAAATTGCTGCTCCAATTACCTGTTCTAGAGTGCATAGAATCCATGTGAGTTTAGCCGGTCGCAGTATCATTCCGGTTCCATAGATCTCGCCAGAATTGTTTAAATCCATACCGCTTGGACGGATTCTCCTCATGAAGCCGCACGTTTTGCGTCAGAGATAGACTTTTAAGTAAACCGGACTCATGGAGCCCTGGTGGAATACTACGAGTCGAATTGCGTAACTTCTCTGTTGCTCTCCGTTGCAGTTCGCCTGGTAGAGACGGCGCCACGTCCGCGTAGCAGGAGAGCAATTCACGCTCGAGTTTCAGGTAGGGTTTCTGAGCAACGGGGGGAGCCATAAGGTTGTAGGACCTTATTAGTGCATTGAGGTTTTTAACTGTCAGGGTTATGGTATGCCTGTTCGATTTTTAGGTAGTCGGCATCTCGCAGTGGTGGGACAGATGGGAGATGTTGAGATGCGGAGGAGTTGTTATGGGATTCGGGTGCTTTTGCATTGGTTTCTGCCGTATGCGACGTATTCTGTCCGTTATTGCCCAACCGTACTTCCGCAGCGGCATAACCCCGCGCTCGCTGAATCTGACTTTCCAGTGATCCACCCTGGCTTGCAATGAGCCGCACAGCGTGTCTCTTCCAATCACTACGCAACCGCCTCCGAAACCGATCAACCTCTTTCGCTACCTCCTGTTGCTTCTCAATCCATGGTGGGGTAACTTCCTGTTTCTGAATAATCTTATTCAGCAGGTATTCTGTCGTGTCGATATAGGGGCTGCTTGCGTTGTGATCACGTTCAGTGTTGATTCCCTTGCCGCGTTGGATATTCCGGAACTGGCCACGGGCGATTGCATCTTCGATGCGCTCGTTTGCCAGCGAGCTAAGTCCATGAGGTGTGATCGCGCGCGCGCCAGGCGTGAATCGCTCTTGTAGTTCTCTACGGATCGCTTCGCGCTCCCGTTCGGACATGTTGGGGTCCCGACTTAGGGCGTAGGTGGATGTGCGATCGCGAGCGGCGGCGAGGCGCTCGCTCGATGATATGGACTTTTTCACCGTTGGGAGCAGGTTCTTCGGACCGGGCTGCGGGGGCTTAAATGGGACTCGTATTGGCTTGCTTGCATCGTGTAGCATCCGGAGTGAGGCGTCGTGGATGGATTCGGTCCCTGTCCACGGAGCCGCTGCAGCGATATCTTGGGTTCCTCTGCCGGCACTGGCCTGTGACGGTTATTCTATTGTTACAATATAATATGAGCGGCAAAAATTGTACGGCGGTAAAAGTTCCAAACAGGCTTGAACCTGTAGTAAGTATAAATGTTTCATACCGGCATATTGACAAGAGAGAACGCAGCAGCATTCTCATTTCGAAAAGTACTCTCTGCAATCCTCTCCTCTAGCTTCTTTTTCAACTCTTCGGAGAAGCCTGCCTCTTGCATGTTTTTGCGGGAGGATCTCCCGCCTTCTAACATCGATTCGTCCGCCATTAAGGATAGCATTCTTGACATTGCGCCCTCCTCTGCACTGGATATCCCATCTCGTTTCTCTTGGCCACTCTCTCTTGATTGAGTTTGTTCATGTTGCGAAACACCTCTTAGCCCAGCAGAGAATGCCCTTGTTCGGATAATGCGTTCATGGCGAGAACCTGGCCGTAGACGTTGTGCGCGAAGGCATGGGGCACAGTAATGAAAAACGAACAGTTGCTGACATCTCATCATTTCCCTCTACCGTTGCTAGACAGTAGATAATAGCATGCAAGTATTTAAGTACTAATGAACTTTCAAGCAGATACTCCGTAGTCCGTATCGACGCAGGAAGCAGAAAACTTGACCTCGCTAAGTGCGCCACTTGACCTCGTTATGTAAGCTGACCTCGCAAATGTGGCCCATGCCACTACCTGACCTCGCTCAATACATCTTTTCTTATAATTTGAAACCACTCTTTCTTTCTTAATTATTTATCATCAATTCTACAATCAATTCAAAATCAATTTAAAATCAATTTAATACTGAAATTATTCTTGAATTTAATAATAAAGTAAGTATTTATATAATTTACACTGAATTAATTATCAACTGATTTTCAATCAATTGTTAATTACTTAAATATACAGATTGAATTTATTTTATTACTATAATTAATTAATAATTAATTCAGAATCAATTTAAAATCAATTCAAAATCAATTCAAAATCAATTTAATACTGAAATTATTCTTGAATTTAATAATAACACTGAATTAATTATTAACTGATTTTCAATCAATTGTTAATTACTTAAATATACAGATTGAATTTATTTTATTACTATAATTAATTAACAATTAATTCAGAATCAATTCAAAATCAATTCAAAATTAATTTAATACTGAAATTATTCTTGAATTTAATAATAGTACTGAATTAATTATCAACTGATTTTCAATCAATTATTAATTACTTAAATATATAGATTAAATTTATTTTTATTACTATAATTAATTCAGAATCAATTCAGAATCAATTTAAAATCAATTTAAAATTAATTATTAAATATTTTTATCTTAATATATTTTAAAATTCTGTAAAACATCTTTTTATATTCTATATGAATTTATCTGTTTATTTATGTAATGTGATGAAATCAAAGCGGTGACTAGTCAGCAGTGTTATATAAAGATAGTTATTTAAGAAGCTGTATAAGTGAGCTTGACTATCTTACTTAAATAGTGAGCTTGTAGACTACAGAGTTATTGCAGAGATATCACAGATATAATACTTAGTATACTAAGAATATTATATGAAACACATAGTAACTCTTGTATATATTTCAGTAGAAGAAAAAACAAATCACTGACATCTTTTATAAGAAGTCAGTATCTAGTTATTCTATATAGATAATGAGCAGATACCTTCTCTTATTTTATAAGTGAGAATAGCTGAAGTGATATCTTAGTGATATCTTACTGCTAAGAAAAAGTAATCTGCTGATCTTATATAAAAGTAAGATTCTTATATTTATCAATCAGATCTTTCTATAATATATCTGAATAATATTATAAAGTAGTTGAAAACTGATTCAGATAGTCTGCAGAATAAATGAAATTATTTATATAAAAGTAATAAGCTGTGTGAAACTGTAACAGAGTCTTGATACAGTTAGAAGTGTGATAATACTCTTCTCTTTAAAAGTATAGTTTCTATATTCTCAAGATTTACTGAATTAGAAATTATCTTTGTTGTATAGCAACAGTTATCAATCAATTGACAGTGTATATACTGTATATAATATAAAGAAATAGATGAGTTTTTCTGCTGACTGTGTAGATCTTTCTTTATTCATCTTTATTCAAATTAAACATGTAATAAGTGAGTTTCTTATATATTAATTTAAAATGAGAAAAATATAGTTAATAAGTGACTTACAGATCTCTTATTATATTTTATTCTATATATAAAATTCTCTGTAAAAGTGATATATTTTAGAGATAAAGTTAACAGTAGTAATAGAATTTTTTTAAAAAGATTTTCTCTCTCTATGAAATATTTTTCTTCTCTCTCTTAATTATAATAGTGAGTGTATGAGAGTATCATTCTTGAAGAATAATAAAGAACTTATTCTGATGTTTTCTAGTGAGTAAATATCTTTATAGTGCAGCTATAATCTCTGTGACTGTTAAGAAAGTCAGGTTGAAGATAAAGACAGTGACATCAATGAGCTGTGAGAGTATTACTTTTATTATCACATCTTCTTCTTCTTCTACATCTCTTACAGCTGTGATGAAAGTTACTATATCTTGCAGTGAAGTGTTATCTCTTCTACTGACTGATGTGTCTGTGTCTGATCTGTTCTCTGCTCTCTTCACTGCTATTGTGACACTGCTCTTCTTCTCAGTTAATACAGTGATATATGACTCTGTATAATCATTCAGAGAGAAATCTGAAAAGAGCTTGATTTTAGAAACAGTAACTCTGAGAAGCTTAATCTGTAGTTCCTCTTCTGTGATATGTCTGAGTCCTGCTCAGAATACTACTGAGTTAAGTCTGCAGAGTTCTGCAGTTTCTTTATCTTCTCTCTGTAAGAAGGCTCTGATATAATCTCTGATCAGTACTGCTACTTGTCTGCACTGTATTAAGCAGCTGAAGAAAGAGAGGATTTTATATACCTGTTTCTTCTCTCACTCTCATTGTTTCTATTATATCTGTAATAATAACTTCTATCTCTCTGTAAGTATTATCTCACAGAAAGATATCATGTTAACTCTGATAAGAAGTCTAGATACTCAAGCAGTACAGAGTGAGAGTCTTGAAGCTTTAAGTATTAACAGATTCTGTCAAGACTGAGAAGGTCTTTCTTACTCATCTGTAAAAAGAGATAAAAGTATGAGTCTCTGAGATGAAAAAACATCTCAGAATAACTAATCTTAAGAAGAGATTAATCAGTATCATTATTAAAAGTACTGCAGAGATCAATCACTGATTGAAGAGAATCTCACTTCAGTTGAAATAGATAACTGAGATACTTTATAAGTTAATAAGTTGATACTTTCAGTATCTTTTATACTCTTCTGCAGCATGCTTCTCTGCAGTGTCACAGTGCTAACTTCTTAATAGATAAAGATATCAGTATCAGAGACTTCAACAGTGAAGAATGAGTTTGATAAGAGTATAATTATTAATGAGTAGACTCTGAGATTTCTTCTTTTTACTTTTTCAGCAGGCTGCAGCCTCACTAGAATAGTAGCAGCTTATAAGTTAATAATATTAATCTTTTTTATTGATTTCAAATATTTCTTTTCTCTAATTACTTCAGGAATTTTATACTTATATAGTCTTATTAAACTTCTAAAAAACTCTTTAAGAGAAAATAGAAGAAGAGTACTACAGAGTCTATAAGACACTAGCTCATCACTGTGAGATTATCTCTAAAAAACTCTTTAAGAAAAATGAGAAGTCTTAAGCAGCATTTCTTACTCAATGTCTCTGATATATAATAAGACAGTCTCTACTAGTTATCTCATAGCTTGTAATCTCTTTCTCAGCATTGTTCAAATACTCAAGCAGTTCTTATGAATTCTCTAATAATGAATATTCTTCTTATTTCACAAGATATTGAAACTTATTATAATATATTCACTTATTCAATATTTTCTTTATAAGATATTCAGTATCACTCTTAATATTGATATTATTCAGCTGAGATGACTTCATTTCAGAGTATTACTTATAAAGCTTTAAATAGAAAATATGAAAAATAGAATGAATTGATTTCAATTCTGTGAGTAATTTCAACTTATATATCTGCTTACTTATCACTCTTATTACTAAGAAAGATTCTAGTCATTACTCACTGAGCTTCTTATATAATCTTATTATCTTGATATTCTTTGCTGAAAGTAGTACTTAATTCTCTATTAAGAACTTTATCAGAAGATGTTTTCAATTATAGTATTTTATCTATTACTTCTAAGTATAATGAATGCTTTTCACTGTCTTCTTATGAATTTTATTTAAAAGTTTCAATCTTGCTTTTACTTCTAATACTGAGAAATACTCTATTCTCTATATCTATTTAATATTCTGACTGTCTATTCTCTTCTTCAGAATATTATTCATGATGTCACTGAGTAATAAAGAATTATATTCATAATAAGTATAGAAGAGAGATATCTTTAAGATTGTATTCTTTATATTATTATATATAAATTCAGTAGTTAGAAGATGTTTAAGTCAATCATTCTAATAATATAAATAGAATGCTTGAAGATGCTGTTCTAGTGTCTGATTCTGATATTCAGTCTGACTATCAGTCTGCAGATGAAATGCAGTACTGAGAAGACATCTTATTATAAGATAATAGTAAAAAGTCAATCAGTATTTACTAATGAAGAGGAATTCTCAATCTGTTATTAATAATTTCAGAGCACTGTGATTATAAATAATAGTATCTAAAAATAGATCAGTTAATTTAGAGACTTTAATCTTTTTATAAGTAGAGATATATCTGATCATCTTTATAAAGTAGTTAATAATAACTAAAATTAAGTTATATTCTTTAACTCTTATTAACTTCAGCAGATTAACTATGAAATTTATTAATAGATTCTATCATAAGTTCTTTGAAACAGACAGTGATATTAACTTACTGTATTACTTATACTGCAGAATCTTTATTCTTTGATAGATATTGTAAGTTTCAATATACTCTTTAACATCTGTTCAGAGCTTATCTTAAATATATTTATATTTTAAAAGCTTCTCAGTCTTCTCTAATCTGAAGTACTCTGTATAAAAATTATTATAATAAATTCTTAATAACTTCTGATACATTACTCTGCTATAAGAAATGAAGACTGAACTATTCAGCAGTAGAAGTTTATATTCTTCTAGTTATCAGTGACTTGATTTCTTAGCAGTACTATCTCACTCAGAGTCTGTCTCTTTTAAGTTCAAATCAGATTCTTTCTTCTTCAACTTCTGAATTTAAGCTGTAGTAAAGACATCTCTCTTCTATAACTTATCAATGAATTTTAAAAGTAGTCAGATTGAAAGATTGTAGATTATTTCATTCTTTATTTATTTAATAATTGTAAGATATAATATAAGAAGCTCATGATCTTCAGTGTCAGTTCTCTGTGAGAATCTGAATTTTCTTTCATCTTCTATACTGAGTTGTGCAGCTGTCTCTTCAGTGCTGTTTCTGAGCTTCAGAGAACTCTAACTCTCTGCAGCCAGCTTCTT